TTATTATTATTATTATTATTATTATTATTATTATTATTATTATTATTATTTTATGTAGACCTAGTTGTCCTGGAACTTGCTATATAGACCAGCTAGGCTGATCCTGAACTCATAGAAATCCTTCCAAGAGAACAGACTTTGAAATAGACACTTGGTAATGTACATCAGTAATGTATAGGCTAAAACTCATCACTGATACAGTTACTAGGCTAATGTGTTGTGGTAACACTAAATTCATATAAAAATATCTGTAAATTCCATTATTTGAGTGCTTATCTTCCAAACACTGTCAAACCCTTTTTATCTACTTTGACATCTTTACATCATGATAGATAACCTGTATGTTCTTTCTCCACTATACTCCTCAGGAAACAGATTCAGAGAAGTAATTTCAGAGGTAATACGAGCAGAATACAGTTACAGTCTTTGACAAAGGGTTCTAGGACCCTGCTCTAAACTGTATAGTACATTAGTCCTGCACTGAGGATTCAGGTCCAGAAGTCAGAGTACTGAGGTTTGCAAACAGCAATCATATACTTTGAATGCTTTGAATTCCTAATATTTACTCATTAGATCTCTCCTGGCCGTTACAGTTCTCTGGCCTCTCAGTGTTTCACACAAGGCAGTATCTCAGCTCATATGTGTCTGTCTCAAAGCTGCACCTTTAAGGTCTTTAAAACAGTCATATTTATTGCTATAATTTATGATGCTTGTTTGGAATTTACATTTTTCTCCAACATAGACATCAGTTATATTTCAAGGTAATATATATTAAGTAACTTGAATTTATATTAAGTGGATAAGACAATGTAGGTAAATTTAAGCACTATTAGATAATGTTTTTATGGTTCAGAGGAAATAAAGCATTCAGCACATAACCTGCTAATGTTTTATTATGTTGAGATATTTTGTCTGGGTAAGTGATACTTTTTAAAAGTTGATCTTGAGACATAAATAAAAAGTATTCTATCTATATTTTGATTTTTGTTTTACTCAAATAAAATTTAATGTATGCTTTCAAACTTCAGAAACTTAAAAAAAAAAAAAACATGATCATTGTAAAAAGAAGAAGAAAAAGCTGCCTAAAACTAAGCATGCAAGTGAGCTTTGTTAAAATTTTGGTCTATTTATTATTTGTATGTTTGTGGCCAAATAGTACTTTTCATGCCGTTAATTCTTCGCATAAATATGACTTTTAATAATTCAGCAACTTATTTAGTTACTGGTTACTGAACAGGTTTTGTTTATAATGTCTTTTCTACTTAAAATATCTCTATGCCAGAATCTATTCAGTATTTCATATTTTGAAGTTAAACTTTACCCTGAGATTATATATAATTTTAATTTTTTTAAACATTCTGTGATTCTCTGAAATACAAAGAAACAGTAGTTTGAAGTTTTTTAAGTAACTCAGTTTGGTTTGGTTGGTAATGAGTCAGTGAAGTCCCTATCCTCAAGTGGCTAGCAGCCTTCTAACCAAACCTTTTACTCAGTTTTTAAAAAAGCATTATTTCTGGAACATGGGAATGGCATTCTTAAAAGCTAGGCTCTTAACATTTGTTTCCCTTGAAAATTCGTATAATAAGGGAAAGTCCTCAATAGACATTTTGTACTTTAAAGAAAATTTAAAAATACTTGTGAAAGCTTAACAGCAGTAAGATCACCACACATATTGTAGATCCCAAGGTACATTGTTGGGCAGATAAGATTTCTAAGTCTATTCATAGTAGGAGACTACTTATGCTAAATCTACATCAGCAAGAAAATGTAGGTGCATTCACAACTAGGCAGTGAATCATTTGTGTGTGAGAAGTGTGTAAAGCCATGAGCCTGGAGAGGCTGGTTGTCCTCAGCTGCTCAGGCAGCCCTACCCTAGGCACATCTTGTACAGTGACCCTTTTTCCACATTTGGCTTAACTTCTTGGGGCAGCTCACTGCTGAGGTGGATTCTATTCTTGTTTTACTTGGGCCCCATCGCTATGCATATTCTGTCTGTCTACCGTCAGCTGCCTTTGTCTTCCCCAGCTTCCACCACTATAGGCTGTTCTCTTTCCTTCTTAAGTGTTGTCCTCACAACTCTGCTCTGGCTTTGACTCCCCCTCCTAGGCTTCCTTGCTGGTGGATCCCTGACCTTTCTGGACTCCTAGCACCACTCTGCCACTTTTCCACTCACATGCCGTGTTTATTCTGTCTCACTGCGATGATAGAACCAAATTATTATCTGTCAAAAAAGAAGGGAGAAGAAGAGACCAGGAAGGCAAAGACAGGTTTTAAATTACTGCATTTTATGTATTGGCAACTTGTCTTTCAAACAGGTTATGAAGTTCATGGGATGGAAAAGATACCGGAAGGACCAGCACTTATAATTTTTTATCACGGAGCTATTCCCATAGACTTTTACTACTTCATGGCTAAAATTTTCATCCACAAAGGTAGAACTTGCCGAGTAGTAGCTGACCACTTTGTCTTTAAAATCCCAGGTAAAATTTAACTGTGTTTAGTGATCAAATTATGTGGTAGTGTCTCTTTTGTATTATTTAGAAAGTATTTTGCCTCTTTAGGATAACAAATTTGAAAAATATGTAATTATCCAATTTAAGTAATATTTTTCCTCTTTTTTATTTCATTTTATTTTTACAATTTATTCATTATATACCCTGATTGAAGACCCCTCCCTCAACTCCTCCTAGTTTCACCATCCCTCCCTTTTCCTCCCTGTCCCTTTCCCCTATCCCTGTCCACTGAAAGGGGAAGTTCTCCTCCTCTGCCCATGGCTTATCAAGTCTTATCGGGTCTGCCTGGATGCTCTTCTGTGGCCTGGCAAGGATGCATTGCCGGGGCAAGCGGTCAAAGAGCAGGCAAATAAGTTCATGACAGAGGCAGCTTCTGCTCCCTTTACTCGGAGACTCACATAGAGACTGAGCACCCAGTTGGCTACAACTGAGCAGGGGGTCTAGGTCCTCTCCATGCATAGTCCTTGGTTGGTGCATCAGTGTCTGCAGGACCCCCTTGGGCTAAGGTTTTTATAGGTTGTTGGTCTCCTTATGGGGCTCCTGTCCCCTCCATCCCCACCCCACTCTGTCTTATTCCATAAGACTCCCTGTGCTCTGTCCAAAGTTTGGCTGTGAGTCTCAGCATCTGCTTTGATCCCCTGTTGGGTGGAGCTTTTCAAAGGACCATCTATAGTAGCCTGCCATCCTGTTCCTTCTCTTCCACCACTTCTGTTGTCTATCCTGTTTGCCATTCTGAATGAAGTAATAAATCTTTTTTTTTTTTTAAAGAGCCAAAAAAGGTCACTTTTTTGTTTGTTTTATAGACAAACTCTGTTTGTTTTAGCTCTGTTGCCTAAACTCACCTTGAGTGGGTATTCTTCCTGACTTAGCTTTTCAGAGTCCTGATTTATAGGTGTGACCATCACTGCTGGCTCAACTTATACCTACTCACTTTTCCTCCCTTCCCTCTTCCCTCCCTCCTTTCCTTTTTTGCCACCACTGACTCTTAACTATTCCTTTTCTCTCTCCTCCTCTCTCCTTCTCCTTCCCTCCTTCCTGCTCCTCCCTCTTCTTCCCTGCTCCCCCTCCCCCTCCTCCTCTTTTTTTTTTTTTGCTAGTTCTGGGGATTAAACCCTAGGGGTGAACACATGCTAGGCAACTGCTCTACCACTGAACTATCTCCTCCCTCTTTCTTTCTCTCTCTCTCTCTCTTTCTTTTCTTCTTCTTTTTTTTTTTTTTTTTTTTTTGTTAACAGAATTTTAGTCAGTATTTTCTAAGTTTGAAAAAAAGATCTTTTAAAAATTGAGACAGGATCTTGCTATGTTGCCTGGACTAGCTTTCAGCTTATAGTCTTAAGGTAACCTCCTGCCTCAGCCTACCAAGTAGGTGGGACTGCAGATATGTATACCCAATAGCAGTCTTAAATCTCGAAGTTTGTTTTTTACTGTGATGCTGGAGATGGAACAATAAGCAAGTGCTCTGACCTTGAACTATATCCCTAATGCAAATCTAGAACTTTCAGGTGGAATTTAAAAAATGATACATATTTTTGTATACAAGGTTGTTAAGTTTGTATGTTTTTGTAAGGTAATGTTTTTTTCTTGTTTAATGCTGTTATTGATAGCAAATCATAATTGGGAAAAACTATACAAGGAATATTTGTCCACACTCTCCTAAAGTGTATGTGTACACATTACATCTCTTCCATTGTATGAGCTGCCTCAACGATTAAGCTCTTGAGATTGAAGACCGCCTTTTAAAAGTCTCTTCATCATGACTTTATGTCTTTTTAAAAGTTTAGTCAAATTTCTTAAGATGAAATAGTTATTTAAAAACTCATTGAATGAAATTACTGAAAATAAATCTTATTTTCGTTCATCACTAAATCACTAGACACAAGCCAGGAGAGTTGATAGTATGTTCTCTGAGTAATAAAAGCAAAGCTGGCCCAGCAACCAGACTCAAACCACCAGCGAGTTAAGGAACAGTCTACTCCAGTGCCTTCCAGACATATGGTTAGTGCTTTAGTATATGTAGAACACCTGTTTGCACTTTGTGTATATGCTAAATTAGATGTAAAGCTTTCCTTTAGAAAGATTGGGAACAGAAGGATATTATAATCTCATCATAACTAGTTATTTTGACTTTTTAAAATGACATGTTTTCACACATTTACAAACACTTTTGTGGGTTTTATCCCCCGTAAAGATTCAATGTAAGCATTACCATCTTTCAGTGCTTCCTACCTCTGTCACATTCTTGAGATTGCATCTAGGGTCTTCCACATGCTTGCCAGATCACTGATCTACATCACAATGAAGAACAGTTTTATCGTATGGCTCAAGTGTTTACTTAACTGTTGTTCTCTTATGGAACATAGCTTTGTTTATAGCTTTTTCTTTTCATGAATAAGAAATATTTTTTATCTTTTTCAAAATACTTTTCCTTTGTGCTCAGACCATATTTTGACACTGATTTACCTTTAGACATTTATAATCTCAGTGAGAAATTTTGTATTTTACCTTGTAATTTATGGACCCTCTCTTCCTTACTCTGAGAGTGCATCATATTAAGTCAGTGAGGTTTTGGGGCACGGTCAGCATTATTTCAATCTTAATGACACAATGTTTCAGCTCTTTAAGGCCATGGGAGGCTATGTTAGTTTGCCCAGTTCTATGACTATCCATATTCTTGGTCTCAAGCAGGAAAATACATGTACACAGACAATCACAGAAAGCTCTACTCTAAGATCTTTATTGACAGGATGTCTTTTATGCATAAATAGTTTAAAACGCTGTATAATATTAAGGTTTGGAATTAGCTGTTTCTGAATTGAATACCCTTCCTCAGTTGGTTAAAAACTCTCAATGATATTTGCTGTTGTTATAAAAATCTAATTGTAGGATTAGCATCATCTAACTTTTTATTTCAATAGATTTGATTATAGCCAAAGCTAGTTTTTGGTGTGGCTGAACATAGTCGGATTTACATTCTCTCAGGTGGTTCTTTGTTACAGGGTTAATGGGAGATTAGGTTTTTAGTTGCTGATGAGAAGTCATCTCTGATTGTTTTAACAGTACTTGAGAATATATATGGCTTAAAATTCAGTGAAGGGCACTTAGGACTGGACATATTGCAGTGGGAACCTTTGTTGTGTGACTTTGCCTGTGCTACCTAACTTTTAAGCCCAAGGCTTGTCATCTGTAAAATGGGGAGAAGAAACCCCATTTTTCATGATAATTTTGTTTTAATTAAAAGTTTAAAATGTAAAGTAGCATTAGTAAGAAGGTAGTCAGTCAGGAAGTAAGATATATTTTACTTCATAGGTGAAACTGGTCTTATACCTTAACAGCTATTAACCATGGAGAGTAAATTGCATAGATCATGATGAGTTTTGCTCTTAAAGAATTGAACAAGATCAAGACATTTCTTTGTTATATTTTTTACAGGGTTCAGTTTATTGCTTGATGTATTTTGTGCTCTTCATGGACCAAGAGAAAAATGTGTTGAAATCCTAAGAAGTGGTCACTTGTTAGCCATTTCACCAGGTGGAGTTCGAGAAGCCTTACTTAGTGATGAGACCTACAACATCATATGGGGTAATCGTAAAGGCTTTGCTCAGGTTGCAATTGATGCAAAAGTGGTGAGTCATATCAGAGTCATTACTCAAGCAAAGCTTAGTTGAATTTCACAGAAAAGCTTAGAAAGTGAGTCAAAGTATAAGAGGCCAGATTCTTTTATTGTAACAGCACATCAGTTACTATATACAACAGTTTGTAGGCATGTATAAAAAGACAGCTATTCCTTATGCATTAGAAGCCATCTTAAAAAACAAACAAACAAAAAAAACTAATTTAGATATTTGGGAATTATCCAACAAGGTTTTATTTTTCAGTTGTAAATCCTACTTTTTTATTTATTATTTTTGTACTTGTGTACACAGCCCTGCCATTCTTTCAGCTACAATTTTTTAGGATATAGTCTGCTCATTCTTGATGTTCTAAACCCTTGGTAACAACATGAATGAGTTGGTGTGTTTCATGGAAGAATTTGGTTCAATAGTTCTTTAATGTGTAATCAGATTTTATAACAATACATGTACTATGTGAATAATGTCATTTTTCATCAAATGTGATTTCCTATTTTATAGTATAATAATAAGAAATGGATAGAGGTGTAACAGGCACTTTTAAAGCACTTTTCAAATGAATTCATCAATAAAATTAAACATACTTTGGGGTTCACTGTAATTATTGTGCTTCCTAGGCCAAGTGGTAAGAATGTACTTTGATATGTTTTCTTTGTGGGGTATTTTTCCTTTAGAAAGTGTTTCTTGGTGTCTTGCTCTACATATGGCACTTTATCCTAGGGAACACTTACGTTCAGCAGGGGACATTGCAAAGTCCCTTGTTGGACTTTTGCTCTTTTCTCTAACCCGAGAGGTTGAGTCAACTGCAGTAACTTTTAGCATTTCAGGTTGCTGTCATTAGAGACAAGTCTGCATCTTCAGTGTGACTATGCATCATGTAAATGTATAGACTGTTAATTAAGAAAAAAAGAAAGATTGTGGACGACTCATTCTAACCGAAGAGTAATATTTAAAGAAGAATGGGTATTTTTATATTTGAATTACAAAGTTTATAGCAAAGCAGAATACTCCAAAGTGCTGAGTAGTTCTTTTCTTTCCTGTACCTATGCCTCTTCTTACATGTGATTCCTAGAAGTCATCGCTGTAGTGCTTTAATATGGGCTTCTAGTTTACATTAATCTACTTTCTAACTTTTAAAATAGCATGTGTTTAAACAGTACAGTCCTATAGTAGATTATAAGTTGAATACAAAGGTTTTATATTTAAATCCTTAATGCAATGATATATTTTGAGAAGGGTTTAAGTAGTTGTATTTAAGTAGTTGAATTTTTTGTCTTTAAACACAGATTATTTAACCCAGAAAAAGCTTTTCATGTATGTGTTTGTTGTGTTAGTAATAAAGAAAACTTACTAATAACACATTTACTCATTTTCTAAAGAATTTTATAAGCACAGATGTGGAAATCAGAACCATAGACTGTTAGTACTATGGTATACAAAAGACTGCATGCAGCTGTGCAAGATTAAGAATAATCAATGCAACATTTTAAATCAAGAATAACTAATTCTAAATTAAAATATTGACTCATTTTCTTTAAGTTTATATTTTGAAAGATTTGTTTTTTAAATATATATTTCACATAAAGATAAAATAAATTTGAATCTTACAAGTTTATCATGGAATTCTAATTCTTCATCCTTATGTTTATAGTAGGATATTGCTTAAGAGACCTGAAAGAGAAATGACAAAACTTTTCAGATTTTTTAATTTCTTGGTAACTTTTTATAAAATTGCAAAAATTTGAGAAATATCCTTCTATAAATTTAAAATAAATAAAACATGTAAATCTGTGAAATTGCCAATACTATTTTAAGTCTGACAAAGAGCTTGTAGCGCTTTTGAGGTTTGTCTCTGGGTGAGTGACATGTGTAGTATTGTAGTGCAGTGCTATTCAACTTGCGGGTGGCCTACGACCATCGGAAAATACAGATACTTATAATCCGATCCATAACAGTAACATCATTACACTTAGAGAGTAGCACGGAAAAGAATTTTATGGTTGGCGTAACTACAACATGATGAGCTATATTAAAGGCTCTCAGCAGTAGGAAGGCTGAGGGCTGCTGCTCTAATGTTACAGATTAGACTCAGGCAGAGAGAGATGGAGGATGGAAGAGATCTGGTCTCAGCAAGGCAGCCCCAGAGCAGTGTGCAGTTCAGGCAGTGGTGCTGGTGCCGTCCCTGACTTTATTTCACAGTGAGTGCAGACATCAGAGATGAAGGAATCTTCAAAAGATGCGAGGAAAACTTCTCAGCAAAATATTTGCATGGTTTTTAAATGATAACTATCCCTTAAGAGATCAAACTAGAAGTTTAGCTGTTTAAGCTAAATCAGTCAAGCTGAGTTGAACCTGAATCATCATCATGAAGTGCACATTGTAATACAGGCTTTTGGAATCCTGCTCATCTGTAGACATGGTCAGCAATTCTAGTAAAGGGAGAAAAACAGTCAATGTGTCTGAGCTGAACAGCTTTCTCTTTACTCTGTGAATTTGTAGTTCTCAGTTCTGGGAATGTAACTTCTAAAACATTAAGATTTTTATCCACTTTGTTTTATAACACTTGTAATCTCATAGATAGTAGGCTTTTTTTTTTTAACCGAAGAATTCAGTGCCCATTATCATCCTTATACAGTAGTTTCATGAATTAACCTCATCGAATTTACATTCTTCACTTGACAGCTTTGTCTGCTTTTTCTAGTGTTGAGGTTACTGTTGCCTGATTCTGACTTCTGTATTTACAGAACATAGTTCATTAGAAGCATTGTCTTTCTGTTATTTACTCATTTCTTTAGTTCATTCATAACCTCCTTTTATCTCATCTGTTCTAGGTACTTTTCTAAGTGTGAGGGATACAGCAGTGAACGAAACATGTATTAGGTGTCCCTAAAATATATTAGATGTCTTTCCTCTGGTAAGAGGAGAGAAACAGCAAGTGATCAGCTAGTTCAATGTGAGGATAAGTTTTTAGGAAGTTTAATCCTTGTGTTTTCTAGTCTCTAAAACTGAGTGACAAAGATAATACCATTATCTTTATTTAAAACCCTGCTTTTAAAGGCATATAGTTCTGTAAATAATGTGAAATTTGTACAAACATGTACATATAGTTTTATGTAGTTAAAACATTTAGTTCATTATATTTGTTTATATGTGAAAATATTTAATTTTGATATTTCATTTACAATAGCATAACCTTACTATATCTACTTTATTATGTTTCAATATTATATAACATTTACCTAACATGTCTATTATTAAATATCACATTTAACCATGGATATTCGTGGAACATCCTATAAACTTGTTATATAAAAGTCTTTAATTTATAAACTTTTTACAGTTTTTATACATATTTTTTAATTGATACTGAATGGGCTCATAAAAATGTTGCATTATTAATTCTATGAGAACATCTTGCTGAAACCTATCATTTAAATTTATATAAACTTTCCCTTTGTTTTAGTTACTTTTCTGTTTCTGTGACCAGATGCCATGATGAAGATAGCTTATAAAAGAAAGCCTTAAATTTTGGGCTCACAAATCCTCAGGTCACAGTCCATGACCATCAAGGCAGGGAGCATGGCAACAGGCAGGTAGGCATGGTGCTGAACAAGGAGCTGAGGGTTCATATCTGATCCATCAGCTGGAGGCAGAGAGAGCTAGCTGTGTCTGGTGTGGACTTTTAAAACCACAAAATCCGTCCTCAGTAACATACATCCTCCAACAAGGCCGTACCTCCCACCCTTCTCTAGCAGTTCTGCCAACCTGGGACTGAGACTTCACATATATGAACCTAGAGGGGCCTTTCTCACTAACCACCACACCCAGTAAAGTGTCTTCATCTTTTAACTTCTTCAGTGAGCATATTATTTAGGAACCAGTAAAACTAATTTACCACATTTGTTTTATTTAATGAAATTAGTGAGTATTATAATCTTCTGTAATAGTTTCTAAGGTTTATCTGCAAGGAAAATTGGTAGATGAAATATTGAGTGCTGCAACTAGAGGATAGCCTTTCCAATTTATATTTTCATACATGGTGAAGTCAACTTTAGTCTGATAAATTACACCACCTTAGGTATGCCTTTTGTGTTTAGATCTATTTTTAGGATATCAAATGTGCCCTCAAAAATTTTGCCTTGGTAACTCAATGGAGACCTTAAGCGTATTTATTTATTTACTTTTTAATTCAAATTCTTTTCTTTAGCCCATTATTCCTATGTTTACACAAAATATTCGAGAAGGATTTAGATCACTTGGAGGAACAAGTAAGTTCTTATTCATGTGGTTTTTAATTATAGTATAATATATAAAATAGGTTTTGAACTCTATTAGGAAACCTTTTGATTTTTTTCTTTTTTGAGACAGGGTCTCACTGTGAAGTTATAGCCCTTCTAGAATTCAGTGTGTAGTCTAGGCTGGGCCCACACTCACAGAGATCTACCTGCCTCTGCCTCTTGAGTGCTGGGGTTAGAGGCATGCACTACTATGCCTGGTGACTTTTGAATTATTAATTTCAGAAATGAATATTTAGGTACTGTTCTAAATAAACTCCAGTGATAATTGATTCTAAGTAATGGCAGTCATTATTTTGCAGGGTTGAGCATTGATACTTTTTATTGCCATATAGGCAGCCTGGCCTCAAATTTGTGATTTTCATGCTCCACCATCTGGAGTTCCTGGAAGATACTATGTTTCTGTTAAGAGTATTATATACATATTATAATTTATTTGAATAGGCTTTTTAAAACTTCAAATTGATTCATCTAATATATTGTGTTAAACTGTGTTGATAAGATTTAGAGCACATTTATATACTGTCAACTGAAGAAACCAGCTTTAAAATTGAATGATCTACATAGTATACTAAGATTAGCATCAAAGAAGATGGGGATGTTATTTGCTTTGGTTTATCCTATTACTTTAATATATTTACATTGGTAAGTGCTTTATCTGACTTTAGCTTACTAGTTAAAAGTTCACTTTTAATGTAGTTGTAGGAATAAAAATCAGGCTGTGTTTTTTTCCCTTAAAATGTGTATTATTTTAGACTGCTCAGCTTATTTTCCACCTGTGGTTTATATATTAGATTCAGTATTTTTTTTGTAACTGTTGCTGTTCCTGTCCACATAGAAACCCCATAGCAAGCTATTAATTGCTATTGTTTTAACTCGTTTAATATTTAAGTTTGGAAATTATATTTAATTTTGTTAATCCTTTTTTTATAATGATAAATCAGGAATTACAGAATTCTGGGTTTTAATATGATTATAAGTTATTTTCAAAATTCTGTTAGCTGCTTTTAAATTTTACTTAACTTCAAAGTTCAGTATCTCCAAGTGTCTGCTGTTTTTTATTTTAACTTTATTTATTCAATTCATTCATTAATTCATTCATTCACTCATTCATTTTCGAGGCAGAGTCTCACTGTCACAGCATTGGCTGGTTTGGAACTTGTTATGTAGATTAGGTTGGCCTTGACCTCACAGACATCCATTTACTCTGTCCACCTTCCCACCAGTGTTGGAATTATAGGAGTACATCACCACAACTGGCTAACTTTAATTTTTGTGAGTGTTACTTTGGGTGTGACAGTAAATTTTGTTTTTTTTATTTGTAATCTGTGTTTTCAGTACATAACTATATATTTCATGAAACTTACCTTTTTGGATTCCATTGATGCAGTTTTTATTTTTTAACCCTTTCAACTCACATTTAATACCTTTAAGCTCATCCTGCTGGGTTTGAACCTCATCATCTCTAGTCGGCTGGTGCGCGGTATCTGCCTAAAGTGTGTCTGCACTCCTTGTCTTTGTCTGTTGTACTTGTAAAGCACAGGCTCTGCACCCTGAAACACTTCAGCTTCCGGCTTTTGCTGGAACTTCTCAGCCTTTGTTGGGCAGTAATGGTAACTGGTTAGTCTTTTAAAAGTCTTAGGTTTTTACAATGTTATGTGGTCTTTTAATGAGTTGATTTAGTTTTTCTTTTTCTTTTTGGATTTATAGGAAAAAAAAAACTGAGTACAAAGTACAGAAAATTCTTGTATGCCCTTTCAGCAGTCTCTAGGGTCGATCCTTAGGAGTACCAGTGTGTTGCATTTGTTACAACTGATGAAAAGCTCGCCTTAAAGAAATGCTGTGCTGGTCATGTAGCTCGGTGGAAGAGGCAATGGATTCAGCCCTGAGCTTCATAATTCTAAGAAATGTGTACATGCCCGTGCATGCGCATGCACACACACACACACACACACACACACACACACACATATACACATACACACTAATTGCTAATATTTTTGTCACCTTCCTGCAAGTTTTGTGTAATTAATTAGAAAGTTTACAGTTATATGCATAGCATATGTGGCCAGTAAAATTATTTTGCTTACTTTAAAACAGGATTGTTTAAGTGGCTTTATGAAAAATTCCGCTACCCATTTGCTCCAATGTATGGAGGTTTTCCTGTAAAGTTGCGGACCTACTTAGGTGATCCCATTCCATATGACCCAAACATAACAGCAGAAGAATTAGCTGAAAAGGTAATTTGTGCTTCCTTTCTTAGTCTTAGGACAGATTTTTGTTTTAAATTATTTGAAATTTTATTGTTTTATGTATCATGTGCCAAAAATTCTCAAACAGTGATTTTGCCCCATGGGAGACATTTGGCAAGGCCCAGGGACATTTTTACTGATATGAAAGAGTTTGGATGGGGTATGCTACAGACATTTATTGTTTAGAAGCCAGGGATAGATTTATAGGCATCTGCGGAAAAATCTAAAACATTTCTATATCTGAATTTTTAATAATAAGAAAAACTAGAGTTAAGGAAAAAAGCTACAATTAATGCTAAAGTCTTAGAACTTAGGTGTTGTATAATGACTGTGGAAGCCTTGAAGTTTACAAGGCAAAGAGGTAAGAAAACATTTGAGTAGCAGAAGGCTGTGAGGATTTTTAAAACATTGGTGTGAGAAAGACTACTCATCTTGTAATTAAGCTTTGAAAAAGTCTAAAACTATGAAAAAGAATCTTCAACATGTTGTTAAATAATTTAGAAGATAGGAGGCATATAGGTTTTTGTTGTTTCTGTTTTGTGATACTGAGTATCAAGTCCAGGGCCTGACTCTGTTAGGCAAGTGGCTCTACCACTGAACTACATCCCTTGTGTGTGTGTGTTCTGATTATAACTTTTATACCAACCTTTATCTAAGTGAGATTCATTTAAAACATTTTGAATTATGATGGAAAATGTGTAAGCTTGCAGGGCATGGTGATGCACCATTAATGTGCCATTAGTCCCAGCTCTCAGGATAGAGCAGAGGCCAGCAGATCTCTGTGAATTTGTGGCCAGCCTGGTCTACAGAGTGAGATTCTGTCTTAATCAAAACAAGGTGAAACAAAACAAAAACAGGTATACTTATAGTTCAGTCCTATAAAATACATCAATGTTGTTGAACAGAAGATTTTTATCATGAAAAACTAGGTCTATTCCCTCTACTAAGCCCTTGACAAGGCTCCGAAGCCTGAAATACTAAATTGTTAGAAGAAGGCAGACGTGGTGTTCTGCAAGACACGGGTGTGGGACAGAAGTTCTTCTGCAAGTAGAACATGAAAATCCTATGGATGATCTGTTCTGATACTGAACCAATAGTGGCTTTTGTTTTGTTTCCTAAACAGACCAAGAATGCTGTTCAAGCTTTGATTGATAAGCACCAAAGGATACCAGGGAACATTAGGAGTGCTCTGCTGGAACGCTTTCATAGAGAGCAGAAGACTAATTAGCAGAAGAGTTAATGTGTCTGTAGTGACAAGCTAGCATCTATGGTACTGTCTTTTAAATTTTTGTAGGTTGTATATAGTGTTTTTAAAACATGTTAATAAGCATCTTTCTTAGAGCTTATTTATTTAAACTTATATTGTTAAGCTTGTCTTTTCAATCAGTTGTGTCAAATTTAATAAGTAACTCATCACTTGCTTGACTCAAAAAACGATCATGTTACATTTGCAATCTTAAGTAGTATATGATAAACATAGTTTTAAGGTTAAGACTTTTTTTTTCCTATCAGCAGTTTAGCTTAAGCAGACTTTTCTAAGTTTTGCTTCTTATGTCTATGCCCATTACGCCAATATGATAATAAGAGAGTCCATGTGTTAGAGTGTAGTACTTAATTTAGATGAGAAATGCCTTTATGTATCTGTCCTTCATTCCATTCACAACTTCAGGTGAGTTGTGGAATGCTTTGCACTTCAGTGACTTATTTTAAGCATGATAAGACTGTGGTGAACATTATTTTAAGTTGCTTATGTCTGTTGTGTTAGATATCTGTAGTAAGTGCTAGAACTGAATTTATTCCTGAATCCTGTAGGAGGTATGTCCATTTTTGTTCATTGGATGTTGAAACTACTCCTTCAGGTGTAATGTCCAGTTGCCAAGCACATTGAAAGAGATGTGCTGTTTTATAAATCAAATCATTGTTGTTTGTAATATTTATTTACTGAATTGCTTAGTATTTATTTTAAACAAGTATCTAAGTAAATATATAGGGTGAGTTGTCAGTACGGTGTTTTATGGTGTAAAGATAAAATCATGGTTATGCTCTGTACTTTGTGTTAGAAGCTGATTCTAGGCTGAGGAATAACAAGCTAAGAACACTGTGGTCTTGCTCAGTATCATGGCTCATTTTACTGGGCTTTGCAGCCAGTCATGTGGCTTATTATTTCAATGAAATGTACTTGAATGATGAGTTTCTGTAAACATGGAGCCCTCTGAAAATGTCATGGTTTTTGATTTGTTGTCTTCTTGAAAATTGATTTTAAAAGTATTTAAACAACAAAGTATCATGAATCTACTGCAGTATGTCTCCTTCCACCTTTGTAGTACTTGGGTTTTGTATGGCCTTTTAAGTTACAAGTGTATAGTTATGAGATATATATATATATATGTATATAATGTATATAGAAATGATGTGAAAATAAAGCTGAATATTCATTCTTTTGTGAAGTTGTACGTGTGACATCATTCAAAATATTTTTGTTTTACTCTCCGTATTTTTTTACCATTCATTTTTTTTTTATTACAGCCAAAATAAATGTAGTATACTTCCTATGTAGTCAGTATATTTCAAAGGCAATTTCAGTGAAAGGAGTCAGTTTGCTGCCTCCCCCCCATATTTGTGAACCTTACCTAGTTTAAACCTATTAAATATTTCCAGAACAAGTGAATAAAAGACTATAAAGTGAGCAAGAAAACTTTTTTTTTAATTAGTTTTTTTTTTTTTGGAGGGGGGGTTGGTTGTTGTTTTATTTCTTCACTTTACATCCCAAACACAGCTCCCTCCTCTCCTCCCGCTGTCTTCTCTCTTTCCCCTTCTCATGAAAGGGGAGCCTCCCTCTTTCCCCATATCAACCCTCCGCAGCACATCAAGTCATACTAGGCCTGAGTACATCCTCATCCACTGAGGCCAGGCAAGGTAGCTATAGGGAAATGATCCAAAGTAGACGAAAGAGCCCATATCAGAGACAGCCCCTGCTCCTCCTGCTGGGGGGTTCACATGAAGACTAAGCTGCCTACTAACTACATGTGTGTAGGGGGCCTAGGTCCAGACCATGCATGCTCTCTAGTTGGTGCTTCACTCTCTATAAGCCCGTGGATCTGGGTTGATCATTTTGTAGGGTTCTTATCCCCTCTGGGTCAAATTAGTTCGTTTTAAAGATTGAAAAAAGAGTGGCATTTGCTGCTAATATTGAAAAGCCGGTTATTTTTTCAAGTGTTTTAAGTATTACTGTTCTATTTTAAATGATTTTAGGTTCCTGATACTCATGGTGTTAGGGTCCCATCCTGATTGGTACTTTTTTTTCTCTGCGCTGATTGAACTTAAATCCCCTTTGTAAGATCCAGGGACTATGACTACATGTAGAAACAGGTAGAGGTGGGGTGCATTAGAGCCTGACCTGATTTTAGGCCAATGTTCACACTTAGCCCGGTGCCAGCATGAAGGGACTTTGGAAGGTTGACTCTGGTCTGCCGTGCAGGGAGATGTTTCAGACCTCCTTTAAAAAACTGGTATTTAGAAAAAAACAAAGCTCACACTCTACAACCTTGCAGTCATAGCAGACACACCCCTTGTGCGCTACCCGTAGTCGGCAGTTGTTAGATGCCACGTTGTTCCACTTTCCTCATACCCTCCCTCAGTGCACATGCATTGCTAGGGCTTGTTTGTTTGTTTTTTCTCTTGAACAATGAGCAGCAAACAAGGAAATTTGTCGTTCATAGAAGACTTTTATGTACAGATCATAGATAGTTTTCATGGGCTATCAAGTTGGCTTAGCAGGTAAAGGCACTTGCCACCAAGCCTGCATTCAATTCCTGGGACCCACATGGTAGAAGGAAAAAGCCAACTCCTGCTAGTTGTTCTCTGACCGTTCCTGTTTACTGTGGCTTCTGTATGTCCACACGTATGCACTGTAAATAGGTTAATTTTTAAAATTCAAGGTTCACTAGTTATTCACAGCAATGGTCATATCAGATTTCCTCCGTGCTTCAGCCTCCACAGGAGACATGCATTTAGTTTTCCTTCCTCTTTAGTGCCTCTGTAATATGGTGTGATTTCTCAGCCCTACTTTGTCTTTAGTAGTCTAAGAAAGTAGAATGGAGGGAACATTTGTTTCCTGGTTAAGACCTTAGTTTGTCTTCTCTTTGATAGTTTATCATGATTTGATTTAGGGTCTGTGATCCAGAGCTGAGACTTTAATGATGTGGCTTTTACCAGCAGCATATCACATGAGGAGGTATGTGTTGATTTGTGTCATTTATAATGATAGCTAACTGGTTAGTTAAGACAGTGTGCATCTTGGCCAAGATGAAAAACTCAAGTGACAACACATGCTGGAGAGGTTGTGGAGAAAGGGGAACCCTCCTCCACTGCTGGTGGGAATGTAAACTTGTACAACCACTCTGGAAAGCAATCTGGTGCTTTCTTAGACAACTAGGAATAGCGCTTCCTCAAGATCCAGCCATACCACTCCTAGGCATATATCCAAAAGAGGCTCAAGTACACAATAAGGACATTTCCTCAACCATGTTTGTAGCAGCTTTATTTGTAATCTGGAAACAGCCCAGATGCCCCTCAACTGAAGAATGGATGCAGAAATTGTGGTACATCTACACAATAGAATATTACTCTGCAATGAAAAATAAGGAAATCATGAAATTTGCAGGAAAATGGTGGGACCTGGAAAGGATCCTGAGTGAGCTGTCCCAGAAGCAGAAAGACACACACGGTTTATACTCACTCATATAGACATATAACAGGATAAAGCTACTAAAATCTCTACATCTAAAGAAACTAATCAAGAGAGAGGACCCTGACTAAAACGCTTAATCCCCATCCCGAAAGGCAAAGAGGATGGATATCAGAAGAAGGAAACAGGAAACAACCTAGGAACCTGCCACAGAGGGCCTCTGAGAGGCTCTGTCCTGTAGACTACCAAAGCAGACGCTGAGACTTAGGGCCAACTGTTGGGCAGAGTGCATGGAATCTTATGAAAGAAGTGAGAAATAGTAAGATCTGGAGAGGACAGGAACCCCACAAGGAGAGCAACAGAACCAGAAAATTTGAACACAGGGGTCTTCCCAGAGACTCATACTCCAACCAAGTACCATGCATGGAGATAACCTAGAACCCCTGCACAGATGTAGTCCATGGCAGTGTAGTGTCCAAGTGGGTTACCTAGTAATGGGAAGAGGGACTGCCTCTGACATGAACTGATTAGCCTGCTCTTTGATCACCTCCCCCTGAGGGAGGAGCAGCCTTACCAGGCCACAGAAGAGGACAATGCAGCCACTCCTGATGTGATCTGATAGACTAAGATCAGAAGGAAGGGGAGGAGGACCTCCCCTATCTGTGGACGAACTTGGGGAGGGGCATGAGTGAAGAAGGAGGAGGGAGGTTGGTTTTGGGAGGGGAAAAAGGAGGGGCTTGTGGGAGGGGCTTATGGGAGGATACAAAGTGAATAAAGTGTAATTAATAAAATAAAATAAAAAAAAGACAGTGTGCATAATTCTTTTCCCAAAGTTAGTTTTGTCCTTTTCATCACTAAGTACAGGGACAGATACTTTGAAAGCATCTATAACTTTAACGAAATAGTTTTAGCATCCTTTAACTTCATTTAGATAAATTGTTAGTCTGGGATTTTAAGAGTGTAGGTTCCTGCTTGTAGTCTGTACTTAGCAGTTGGCAGTTTAGAAGGAATATCTGGAGGTTGGACATGGGATTCTTCAAAGGGTTACACACAAGTGTTTATGCTGTTTGAACAGAGGCCGTCTGAAGCTTGCATGTGCAGTATGCTGAAGGGGCGTGGTGGGGCATGTTTCTATATTTGTATATATGATGGTGATTTTTCTTCAAAATTTGATTTTACATTTAATTGTTTGAGGGAGGTGTGTGTTGGTGTCTGTGTATGTTTATGTGCCTGTGCCACACAGCATGCCTGTGGAGGTCAGAAGACTTCTTGTAGGAGTTAACTCTCCCTACTGGGGATTAAACTCCAGTCTTTGAGACTTGGCAACAAGTGTCTTTACCTGCTAAACCACCTCACTGATCCCATAATGATTATTTCTCAAAAATGTGTTCTGTTTTCTTTTGTAAAATACACTTTATATCAAGTTAATTGTTTGATAATTTTAAATATTAATCACAGTTGTTAAGTACATTTACACAGTGTGGGACCGTTGCTACTGATCATGTTCCAGAACTCTTTCAGTATCCCAGAGACCCTGCAGTAACTGAAAATCAGCTCTCTACCCCAAGCCGTGCACACATGCTCAGCCCCAAACACCTTTCCTATTTTCTGGTTGAATATATTTGTCTATTCTGCGTACCTCAAATAAGGAGAATCAACCTATTGTCCTCTTGTGTCTAGCTTACTTTAACTTTGCATTGGTGCTTGGTGTTTTTCTGATACTGTGCTGGCTAGTTTTGACATAGGCTAAGCATTTGGGAAGAAGTACCTTAGTTGAGAAGATGCCCGCTCCCACGAGGTTGGCTTGTGGGAAAGCTTGTTGGGTATTTTCTTGATTAATGATTGATGTAGGTGACCTATTCCACACAAGGTGGTGCCTAGGTGAGTGGTTCTGGATGGTATCAGAAAGCAGGCTCAGCAAGCCTTGAGGAGAGGAGCAAGCCAGGAAGCTGGCTACTGCTTCGTTCCTGACTCCAGGTTCCTACTCTGTGAGAGCTTCGGTCCTGCTTTCCCTCAGTTATGGACTACAAGGTCTAAGATGAAATAAACCCTTTCTTGCCCATGTTGCTTTTGGTCATGGTGCTTTATCACAGAAATAGAAACCCTAAGACATAACAAATATATCCTAAAAAGAACTTGGTGGTCTGCAAATTTAATTCAATTGACAGCAACGTTAAGGTGTGAACAGACCTCACCTTGTGAATGTTCATCCCTTTAAAGACTATTCCCACCTCAAATGCTAGCCACAGCTGTGGTCCCTAGGCTACCCTGCTTTTGCCTGTCCAATAACTCACTTAAAGGTTTTCACAACCCTCCCAAAGCAGTTCATAGAACTCACTAAAGAAGTATACTAGTTCTATTATAAAGGAAGCAATGCAGGAGACTGTCAAAATGGAAGAGTATTCTATGGAGTGAGGTTGCAGAGCCTTCCAGCACCTCCAGCACACGAGGTCTGGATTCTACCAGACTTCATAATGGAATGATTCATTAAGTCATAGGTCATAGGTGATTGAAATCTACTTACAATCCTGTGCCTCTGCTGAGGTTGGGGTAGATGAAAATATACTCTTTTACTCTTGTGAGTGTCCTTTTTATACCAGCTGTCTTTCTGAAGCTGAATATGGAGTCTCTTCTATGAGTAGTCTCTCTAACATGCAGGAGGCATTCCTGTTTAGAAAATTATTCGCGATATGAAAGTTCTGAGCTAGGCATGGTGACACCCACCTGTAATCCCCAGACTTCAACCCAGAGATTGA